TATTACGAACGTTAATGAATTTAGCATTACATTTAAATACCCTTTCTTGAAATTTAGAAGGTTTTTCGTCGGGCGGTTATTTCGCTGCAGCGCTTTTAAGTAATAGCTTTAAAGCAGCGCATGGTACCAATGAATGACATTGAGTTGCGTGTGATTATCAAATTTTGTGTTGTACTGAAACCTTTTTACCAGTAAGATACTGAAACAAATATCTAAAAATTCAGATACATCAATAGCTTGTTTAACCTGTGATTATATTAATGTTAACAATAGGCAAATGCATTCGGAGATTGGGGAAAAAACACAAATTGTCAACAAACAAAACTACAAGGGAGCTTTGGGTTCGGACTGTAAGACTAAACATATTTGTTATTAATCGTAACACATGCTCCTAAGATTGGATTTCAAGGACAGTCTTTTATACCACATGCTATCACACACTTCTTTTTTATCTTTAATGCCAACTTATACATGTACAATGTAATATTTGAAACTTAAACTATTTTACACAAAGATTATTTTTTTCAATTTAGACTACCGTTAACATAAAACTATTATTCAGCGAACGAAAGCAATCGGGTGACTACACACTCCTTTTTACTATGAAATACGACCCATACACGTTAGAAACATCAAGTTTTATTCATATGTATTCCTTACGCTTCTATTTTCTACACATTTACGGTTTATATAATTTGCTAACCATAATATACAAGACTATTTTACAAATATTTCACATACCGGATAAAATAAATATATGACACAAAAACCACGCACAAAAACAATCAAACAAAACATACTAAAAGATTTGTAACAAAGACAAATATATAACTTAGAAACTTTATCTTTATATTGAACTATGACTTCTGATAAATCTTGTACTTTATAACACAAGGAACACATGCGTTTTTAAAGACAAACAGATCTAAATGTATCAACATGTGATTAAACGGAAGTAGCACACATTCCTTAAAAACGACTCAACAGACGGTAGGATTTTGAAGTACAACACCAATTTAAACTAAGATGTACAAGTAAATCTTAATATGTGAAGGCTATTATTTCTTAAATTCGTAAAGTTAATACTAGAATAAATAATGTAAGAGATAGGACATGTTCTATTTTGAAAACCTTGTCGAACAGACATCCCGCATTCACAAGTAACAGATTGCCAAATTATCTCCTTATAATGGGTGTGATGAATGAAATTCCAGAACAGTTAGGGCTAAGGGTAAAGATAGTAGTAACATGGGGTAAAAATGATGTTGAAAAACTCTTCAGGAGACCCAAAGTTGTGGCATGTTCGAATCCCAAATTATTCCGAAAATGATTATGTCAGGGTATTGAATCAGGGGAGATTCAGAGTTTGTAGCTCAGTCAGTAGAGCTGCAGTACGCTATTCCGAGGGTCCCAGATTTGAGATTCGGTCAGGCTGCACATAAAAAGATAATAATATTTTTTAAAATGGAAGTGTTTAAATCATTACTCATGGAGAGACAAAAAAAGAGAGTAAAGTATATAAGGGATCTACTGAAACAATGTTTAGGGAAATTTCAGATGATTCCTTCAATGCAGAATTACGGTCCGAAAACAAGTGTTGTATTGCTTTGAAAATTGTACATCTTCTCTAATTAGTGTTGTACAACTAAATCCTACCGTCTGCTGAGGCCTTTAGTGTTTGAAATTATTTTTTGTCCAATAGAAGTACAATATTTCAAATGAATCTTAACACTTTTACTTTTGTAAATCGGCTTAATTGAATCAGTCTTATAAACATACAGTTTTATTAAAACAAATAATTTTAAACAAGTGCTGCGCCGTTTTCGTTCTTGACAAATTTGATTTTGTAAATAATTACTAATTAACATTTACCTATTCCTGATGCTCCTTACAGAAAAACTTTCTCTTCATAAACAGACACAAAAATTTGTACCAAAAGTACTTGGTATTTAGCTAAAAATGTGCAAGGACTTCTTGTAAATTTTGATTTAAAACTCTATATAACACAAAGAACACTGCATCCTAAAGAATAACACGAATAGATGTAGTAATTTGTGAGTAAACAAAAAGTGTGTGTCTTATTCAGGAAACAAATATTATTGTGATGGAAGGTGGGGTTTGTGAGTAAAGAGAGTGAGAAATTAAAAACATATTGTCTGTACTTCAGAAGATTATTCTAAAAATCGGTTAAAAGCAGAATATATATTGTGAAAACATAGTACCTTTTTAATAACAAAATAAATTGTTAAAGGCACATTATGCCTCAGAAATCCATACTTTTTAATTTTTTAGAACAGTTTATTTTACTATCAATATTAATAATGTTTAAATTATGGATAATGAGTATGTTAGATGTTTTACATTTGTAAATAGTAGCGTTCAGTATAGTTCAGGTATATAACAAATCAGTATTCTTTAGGAAACTGTAACAAAATAACGAAAACAAACAATTTTCGAGAAATATATATGATAGCATTTCTGAGGCATAATGGGGCTTTTAAGTCCAATGTATAAAAATCGCATTACACATATTAAGCGTTGTTTGTTAATTTTTAACATTCTTATGTTAACATTTACTGTTTAATGTTTTATTATATCATTTAATCTCTTCTTTTATCATCTTTTCTTTTCAAAATATATGTAACACGGAAATTAAAACATAGAAGTACGAATGACAAAATGACAAAAATGAGAATTGTATTGATTCGTCCGGAGAAACTATGATAAACATTTCTATCACTATCTGTAGATTCAGGCTGTTTTTCTTTTTTTGTCTGTATTCCGTAATCTGAAATAAAAAACGGAAAATAAAAATTAATCACTAGAGGTTTTAATTTACCGTGCTTATGGATGCCAGTATCCGAACCTCGGTTTCTAGCAATGGCGGACAAACAACTCAACAAAAGGGCAAGAGATAATTTTTAATCACCAGCACACGTGTTCATAAGAAAGTCCTCATGAAACTTACAATATTAATTCGTATTATGGTATGGTTCAAAGTCAAAATAATGTGTATGCACTAAATGAGAGGCTGATTGAGGTAAACAGCTGAAATATAAAAAAGTTAATTGCTTGTAGAAATTAACGGAAGGAAAACAACATCAATAAGTAATAAACCTCATTAATTGCAGTGAATATATCGCACAATCTAGAATCAAAAGATTGAAGAAAAAAACTAAAGAATTTCAACAAACGATTGTTTAAATATTCTCTCTATTTTAGTTCTTATTTAATTACTTGTGGAGAGAATTATAATAAACTTTGAGCTTCCAGTTCAATTCACATTATCATGATTTTTGTATAAATTTTGTTTTGATGTGTAATAGTGTAACTTGATAAAATAAATATGTTTTAACCAAATTACATCAGTATTAGATCTACATTTACCAAAAAGAATTTAATTCGAAGTAGGACGAAACAAAATTAACGTTGTACATACAGGGGCATTCTTTCTTGCAGAATTCAGAGGGAATACTAGTACATATATACGAACATCTGTAGCATTGAAACCCATTCCAATACATGTCTGTGTCACACATCAGTAATGAATCTGTAAGTAAACATCAATTATAAACATTTTTGTCAATTTAAATATAAGACAAAAATAAAATAAAAATGAATAAAACGAAACAATTAAACAAAAAACTATCAAAGTATTGTAAGCAGTACTGAAGACCCATAAACAAGAAGTATGTCAGCAGCATTATGAAGGGTCATGGCCATTCAGTTAAGGCATTGTGGAAGACATGAATGAACTTTTAAGTTCTTACATAAATGTTCAGGGGTTGTCTGTCCCTACCTAACAAGGAGGAAATTATGTTTATACAACAATCAAAATATCAATCTTCCTCAGGATGAATATGTATGACAATGTTTTAGCTTTGCTCTGTTTTTAGTAAATTTGTATGAAAAGTTCCAAGCACTTTAAAAGTGATCTCAAGATACAGTGTTAAAGGACTAACTGACAGAACAGACAAGACTGACAGACAGGAGGCAAAACTTTACACATACCAGGTAGTCACTAGTATATAACATTTTAAAGCTAAAATTTTAGTTCAGAAAGGAGATTACCCTTGAAATAAAGATGCTAGACTTACATGTATGAGACCAGTCGTACATGATCTGAGAGATGGCAAAGAACACTTGACTTGAATCTAAATTAGATACCATTTATAGTAACAAAGAAGACAAGTACTAAAATACGTATAACAATATTTTAAATATAATTCAAAATAATGTTCAAAATGGACGTATAATTCTGGAATCTCAGGCATTAGACTGAAGTTAAAAGTAAATCACTATAGAAATATTGAAGTTATAGACAAAAAGTAGCATTTAGGAGGCCGGAGATAATCCTGGAAATATTGACGCTATACATTATTTATACACCTTGTGACATTATTATGATATGAGAGTCTGAGGGGGATAACTCTGATAATATTGATGCTAGAGTTGTAAATTCTGTCACATATGACGCGGTTGATGTTAAGAAAACTATATTTTGAAGTTTTAAAATAAGAAAAATAGAAAGGGGAAGGAGTTAAAAAACATTACATTTTCATGCACATTCTTAGCTAAAGCGAAGATAGTTCTAGGAAAATCAATTCTAGAGTAATGAACCTTGTTGCATGCGATGTGGCTGATGATCAGGAACATATATTTGAAGTTGAAATTAAATACTAAATAGTTTAACAAATAAAGAAATTATTGTAAATCAATTTACTGCACAAAAACTTTATCAGTAATCTGGACACGGTTGCCGTCGCTGGGTGAGTAGGACAGATACTCCGTATCTTAATCTTAAGGACATAGATAATGCATACCTGATCTGTATAGTCTTTGACACATGTATCAATAAATGTAGCTAAAGATAAACATTAATGTCGAGTCATTTAACTTGTTTCTAGAATAGCTTTCTTTTTCAATAGCAGCTTTTAAATGTTTTACAAATTCAGTGCTAAACAAAATAAATGTTCGCCTTATTTTCAAATCAATATTACCTGTACATAAGATATCTACGAAAGGTCCCAAGGAGCCATGTATATCGTCGTTGAGTTTTATCAAATGATCCTTGTTTGTAGAAAGTCTTGTCCAAACAGCAGATGGATCAGTATCCCCAGAAAACGCCACAAACGTTTTTTGTTTTTGTAGCATCTTAATAACTTGTTCCTCTATTTTAGAACATTCATTCACGACAAAGAAATATTCTACAGCCATACTCGTATTTAAAATATCAAAAACGTCATTTTTGATTATTTCAAATGATATTGAAGTATTTCTAAATCGTGCAGGATCATTTATTCCTGCTATTTTTTCTACCCAAGTATCATTTAAATGATCTTTGTCAAAATGAAGGAATGAAGTTGTATCTGAGCCGAATATTTTCAAATAGATTTTTGAGTTATCAGGCATTTCGTTGATAAGTTTTACAATAAATACTCTCTGGTAATAGAAGAAGCGATATCCCTCTGTATATGTATCCCATATGATTACTGCTTTGTAGGGTAAGCAGTTTCCAGACTGTATACCTGAAATGAACGGAAACTAGAAGACAATTCAATACCTTTATTTTGGCCCAAAAGGTGCGATATACTTATGATTATAGTACAGTTCTCATACACATCATATAAGTGAAGTAATACAAAATTACAAAAAATATTTAACATTAGATAAAGATGATTTATAAAAAAAGTGTAATTGTACGGTGCAAATCGATACATTTTATATACATAAAAAATAAGTTAGTAATTATGCATTGATTAATTAATAATATAATTATTATGTTTGCTTTGTATGTTTGTGACTTTGTAAGAGCAATCTACAAATCCTACCGAAATAAAATGAAGAAAATATAATCGACCCAGGTTAGAGGAGATTCGTTTAGTGCTTTAGAAGACTCTATAGAGTTACTAAGTCTTGGCCACGACATAATTAATCGGTGCGCACGAGATACTATGTCGTGGCCACGAGTTTCTAAGTAACATATATATAGTATAAGCTGATTGGTTAATTATCTGTTGCGTACGACTTATAATTAATTATCTCGTTTCCACGACTACTTAGTAACTCTTGGCCACGACATAGTATCTCGTGCGTGCGACTTAATTATCTCGTGGGCACGACTGAGTAATACGTGGCCACGACATAGTATCTCGTGTGCAGCACTTATGTATCTCGTGGCCAAGACTTATAGTAACTCGTGACCACGACATAATATTTTGTGTGCACGACTTAATTATCTCATGGCCGCGACTTAGTTACTTGTGGCCACGACATAGTATCTCGTACGAACCAATTAAGTATCTCGTGGCCACGACTTAGTAACTCGTTGCCACGACTTAGTAACTCGTTGCCATCATTTAGTATCTCGTGCGCACGAGATGAATAAAACGCAGAAATGTCACCTTTGTTCCGCTGTACATATACAGACTTATTTTCTATGATCAAAATGTTAACATAATTCCGACAACTTCAAGGATAGTCATCATATTCAATATAACTATAAACCAATATAATTGTTTATTCTGTATTTATTCTTCCTCAGTCACAAAAGTATCAATAGTTACCTCTATTTTCACTGTTTACTTGTTCCACCATAATGAAAACCCATGTAATCATCCAGTTTAGTTTCATTTTTTTTATTTCATAAATCATCTAAACAATCACAAAGAGTTTTTGTATTTGTTTATAATTAATCTAATGGTTAACGTTCTAAACAGATCATACAAATGTATTATCTGCACTGCGAATTTCTATATTATACTGATAGTGATTAATGATTATAAATATAGCGCCACAAAATTAAAGTCTGATATTTCTAACGGATACTTTAAAGCTGCCCGCCTCCAGACGGGTTAACAATTTTACACTTAACCAAACTTATATACTAAGTTTATACTATATATCAGGCATCAAGAATACTAAAACATGTCGATATTCTTAATCAATGTGTCGTGTTTTATAGCGAATAATATTACGACTGACTTCTATAAAAACATCTTTTCTAGCCCCATTACCATAGAACTAAATATAGATATATCTGTGCCATTACTTACGTGTCAAATCTATTTGTATGTTTTGGTATAATACATAGATCTACATATAAATTTTGAGACATATATGTTCTAGATTGAATTACCTTAGACTGTAAGAATTACTATGTTTTAAATTAAGTCTTTTGAATTATTTTCATTAAATGTTTTGTCTTGATTTTTTAACATTTTTAACACTAAACATAGTAAAATTCTGGTGAATAGCGGCTTTAAAGATTTAAAGCCCCACCTTTACATTTGTTTGTTGATTGATAAAATTGATAGCTGCGTTGGTATTCAGTGTAATTTGACATCCAACCCGAAATTCAGCTAGTTGCGGTATGGACATTTATCTCGTAAAGAAAACAAAATATAACAAGGAAAATAAATCAATTTAACATGAGACAAATGATAACGATTAAAAAGGAAGTAACACACATACAGTTCATATTAAGAACTAGAAATCAAAGGCTAAAAACAGTTCATAGTAATTTTTGTTGTTGCTGTTGTTGTTTTGTTTCGAATTTTAATTTATTGAAAATAATAACATTCTCTCAAAAGTATAACTTTCATCGACGGGTAAATTACCCGCTTCATTTTTACTTAGAACTTGCTAAAAAATTGCGTTTATACTAGTAGTTAGTTGTCTGTTTCGATATTGTTTGACATAAAAATAAAAACATCACGCAATAACTGCTACATAAAAAATCTTTCTTGTCATACAAAAGTGATATAAAATCCATTCATATTATATGGGGTTTTTCTTTTTCTACATTAGCTGATAACAAATACTTTTTTTTCAATTTTATTATAATACTATCGTTATTCTATATCTGTATTTTGTAAAACATGTAAGTCTGACAACATTATCGGATTAAACTATACGCACGCAATATTCAATATGCGGTACCCCATTATAACAAATTAAATAAACGGGAAAATAAACTGTCTCTCTTAACATAGCTTTTTATATGCAGTTCTTCATAGAGAATTTTCAACAGCAGTGCTACAAATTTCAGTCTGTCTTGAAAAAATTTAAATAAAATAATGGAGCTTTTCAAAGAAATTTTTGTTTAAAGTTAAATTGGTTGCATATGTCTCGCAAAATTTGCATTAATCTGATATTCGAGCTTTGAAATGAAAACAAACGTGGATTGGAAAAGATAATAAATATGCAATAGATAATATTAAGTACACGTATATCAAGGACAAAAGTTGTTGTTTTTTAGAATCTCTTAACTTGGCAAATATAAACAAACAATAAAAAACAAATAAAGAAGCAGACTAACTTTTGAGCTTTATAAAATGTTAGTGTGAATCCTTCTGGGTCATGAATACATTCCAAAATATAGCAAAAACAATGAGAATGAACACATAATGTTTTATTAAAATGAAAGTGTCATTGTTTCAAATTGTTTCAAATTCATTACCAGAAACTTTGTAGTATGATAACATCTACATGTAGTATTGTTATACAACATATTTAAACTGGCTTTTGCTTTTGGAATAACATACCATGCGACATAGTTCTTCTGAATAACAGTTCCGCCACAAGTAATAAACATCCTCAGGGTGAAACTTAAACCAGCCAGATTAGTAAAAATCTGATTGTCGATCCGAGAGTTACATACTGCACTGGTATTAAGCATTTTGATTACCTCGATTTGATAAAATGAAAGCTGTTAACATGCAACTTAGATAAATTGCAAACTGTATTTATAAATGTATAACTTCAAATTTGTGACATGTAGAAATGTAAACGATAGAACGTACACAATACGTTTAATGCTGTGCATCATGACGTTGAGAATGTAACTGCATCAACTTGACACACTCAGGTTTACAACACCACACTTTCCTTTTACATTCTAACGCGATTAACATTTGTAAACGATTTTGCAACTTCCATATATAGAATTATCACGGAAATAAGCGAAAATTAATAGGCGAAGCCAATTTCACGAAAGCAGAATATAAAGAGAGGTAACTCTTGCTGGTACAAAAATATTTCAAATTATATAGAAACTGTTACATCAATCTTGACTTTGAACATCATCTGATTTTGTTAAAACGTATTCTAGTACAGGATATTCAAGTAATGCAAAATTAGTTAAGATATAATGTAAAAATGTAACAACGTATATACTGATAATGAGCATAATAATATGCAAAAACTAAAGTTGGTGAAATAACATAAGGAAATGTTTCCCAAATATAATGACACACACCACTATTCATTGAAATTAAAGATAGGGTTTTGTGAGCCACGGCAATTCTCTAAAGCACATCTTTTTTTTTACCTTCAGCAAATAATACTAGAATGCGATACATGGAAGGCACTTTTGGCATCACAAATAAAGAGAACTGAACAATAAGCCTGTGCCTTCTTTCTTTAAAGGACTATGTCGGGTGATAGAAAAACTCCTATTTTTGACCAAGTGTATAACCACGAAACAATGCAAAGTTTACTATCGATAATTCCGTTGTATAACCAAAACTTGTGAAGTTGTCCCATTTTAATATTGAAATAAATATTCAGTGTATCCTGGCAACTCTGTTTACCTCCAATGGGAAGTATTTTGAGTCAAAGGATGTGATTTAGCCTTTTATTGTCTTTTAAGGTCTTTTTATGCATTGTGCTGAATCAATAGCACCTCTAAAATATGTGTATACATGCTGTCATTAGCTGTTACCTAGATTTGTTGTCTAGATTTGCTGTCTATATGATCAAAAACAGAGAACTCCTTTTATTTACATGAAATACTACACAGAATATTTATTAAGTCTTGTAAGTGATGGCTTTCTAAGAGATAAAATAAACAAGGTATACATAAATTGATAATCAACATACATACATTTGGACATTTAATTTTTACTTATTGAAAAACAATATGGGGAAAATGGGAAAATATATGGTAAAAATAAAAAGTTATGTACGAAAGGATACATACAACTTTGGTTATAATTTTACTATTGTTAAAAGTTTTTTTTCTTGTTAAGTCGTACGCTAGAATTAAGGTTACTAATATAATAGTACTACTAGGAAAGACAACAGCCAGAATTTGGTCTGTATTAGTAATTACTCGTATCTTTATCAGATGTTGATTTGAAATTTTGAAAGTGGTAAGGTAGCAGCTTAACTGTAAATGTTACTCATTCCTATGCAAATTGGAATCCAATCAGTAAAATTTATTTGTCGTTGAATATAGTCTTTTCAATCGTTTTCACTTCCTTGCAAAATATTTAACCTCAGACAGTATGTAACCTGGTGTTTTTTTGGTGTTTTTTTAAGTTTCTTTTTCCAGGAAATGTGGTGTCTACAACGTTTTAAAACTTATATGCCTATATTCCTTAAAAGTCCACTGATGTTGATTGTAGGCAATCATGCAAGTGAATTATGTTTAGTAACTAAACACCTAAAAGGTATGATAAACGGAAACTACGCCGCTTCTTGTCGCCGACGGTAAATACCGAAAATGAGCGGAAAATACGTTTATTTACGATGATTTAGTAGGCGGGGAAATGGGCGGAGCTTATTTTATCTCCTATTGAAAAATGTGTAAAGCTGGGTTATGCTGATCTGAATCATGATGGTTCGACAGTGTAAAGCTAAGAATGTAACTTCTGTTTTGAGTATTCGAACACTTGGTATTGCTACTATCACTTAATGTTTTGTCGTTTAACAAAATGTATTTTGTTGAAATGCATGTTTACAATGTTAAATCGGCAAACTCAATCCAAGTATGCAACATTGGAGTTTACATACAAAGAAATACAATTGTATTTTTTCCATTAACAAACTGTTCAACTCAGATCAACAAGGCTGGATTTTTGGCAACGAATAGCCTCCATATTATATGCCCGTAAGTACTTTATCTGTAGGTTGATTAATGCTTGAATTATTGAGCGAAAACTGTTTCCAGTTTAAAGGTGATAGTAACCTTGATCTTTGACCTTGTGACCCCAAAATCAATAGGGGACTTCTACCCAATATGGACAATCATCCTATGAAGTTTGAATTCTGTGGACCAAATGGAACTTAAGTTATGCTGCGGAAACCATTTTCAGTTTTAGGGTTACAGTGACCTTGACCTTTGACTTTGTGACCCCAAAATCAATAGGGCTCTTCTACCTAATATGGACAATCATCCTATGAAGTTTGAAAACTGTGGGCCAAATGGAACATAAGTTATGCTCCGGAAATCATTTTCAGTTTTACGGTAATAGTGACCTTGACCATTGGCCTTGTGACCGGTCTTCTACCCAATATGGACAATCATCCCATGAAGTTTGAAAACTGTGGACCATATGGAACTTAAGTTATGCTGCGGAAAACATTTTCAGTTTTACGGTAATAGTGACCTTGACCTTTGACCTTTTGACCCCAAATTCAATAGGGTTTTTTTACCTAATATGGGCAATTATCCTATGAAGTTTGAAAACTGTGGGCCAAATGGAACTTAAGTTATATTCCGGAAACCATTTTCAGTTTTACGGTAATAGTGACCTTGACCTTTGACCTTGTGACCCCAAAAACAATAGGGGTCTTCTACCAAATATGGGCAATCATCCTATGAAGTTTGAATACTGTGGGCCAAATGGAACTTAAGTTATGCTCCGGAAACCAAATTGCTAACGGACGGACGGACGTACGGACGGACGGACGGACGC